TGACCTGGATGACTGAGAACCTTCACAGACGTGTGACTTAACTGTAATAACTGATGTAATATGAGTTTTTTAGCTGACAAATTGATGAATGGATGCTTGCTTACTTCTCTCACTGGCTGCTCTGACAGTCATAGAGGTACTTCTCTATACTGTCCAGCAGAGGGCTTCATTTGTTTTGATTGAGCTTCACCCCATTGAGTTCAAGTCATATCTCATAGCAACCCCAACATATACCATGATAACTACAGTAATCGTGATTGTTTAACCTAAACTGACTTATTCGATTAATAAATTAATCAGTGTAAAATAGTTTATTCCTCTTCTTGTTCTTTTGGCTGCTCCTTTTGCCTGCATTTCACCCTGTCTCTACCGTCCTTAGGCAACACCCACACATCTTTGTGGTCTTACTCTTTTCTTCGAGCCTGGAACTCCACATCCTGCATCCTATATCCACTCTTTCTAATCAGGAAATGTCCAAGCCTTCTCCAACTTTGTCTCCGAACAGCTCAACCTGAGCTGTCCCTCTGACATATTCATCATGTCCAACCCCATTCCCTTCTCACCCCCACCTCCATCTCTTCTTCCTGCCTTGTTGTCAGTGCCACTATCTTCAAACCTACACCAAAGCAGGTCTCACTAACATACTATAAACCTTCTCTTTCACTCTTGCTGCAAACCTTCTGTCACAAATCACCCCTAGTCTTGTCTCCACCCACTCCATCCTGCCTGCACTCTCTTCTTCACCTCTCCTGTGCACTGTGTATTAGTTTGGGTGGTTGTATTTAAACTCCTTCACTTTCACTACCTCTGATCCTTGCATCATTACTGTTACACCCACCTTTATCTCATTAGCACAAGTATTCTATCTTGTTTGAATTTCATTCCTCATTTTTCCAGAGCATACCTCCACCTCTCCAGGCTCTCCTCCACCTGCTCCTTACTCTCGCTACAGATCACAATGTTGTCTGTGAACATTATAGCAGTGTCTCACTGTCCCCATACGTGTGCTGCACCACCCTCACGTATTTCTCAGCCAATGCTGACTCCCTCATTCAGTACCACAGCCCCTCTCTCAGCACCCTATCTTATGTTTTGTCTACATCCACAAAGGTGGTGCAGCTCCTTCTGACCTTCTCTGTACTTCCCCATCAGCACTCTCAAAGCAAGCATTGTACCTGTGGAGCTCTTTCTCAGAATGAAACCATACTGCTGCTCACTGATCACCTTCTTAACCTAGCTTCAGCAACTCTTTACCATTTCTTCATGTTGTGGCTCATCAGCTCTGTTGTTACTACAGCTCTGCACATCACCCTTATTCTTGAAAATCTGTCTCATCACACGTCTTCTCACGCACTCCGGCATCCTCTCACACTCCAAGATTGTGTTAAACAATGTGGTCAACAAGTGCACTGCCCTCTCTCCTAAACATCTCCTCTATACGTATGTCAGCTGAACAACTAATGTAGTCACTGCAAATAAAGCAGTTTGGCAAAATAATTGATTCATGTGTCTGACTAGTGACTCCAATATATTATTAATGGGTCTCTAATGTTAGCTACAGTTTATTTGTTGCACTATTGAAAACCATTAAGAGAATTTCACTTTGACTCTTTTAAGTTGACCCACTGAGCAGTGACTCATTCAGAAAGATGTGGGGGATGTGACATCGTGTTTAATTTGAAGCTTACTGAACATACATATAACAAACAGGGCCCAATGGAAAATCAGTAACACTAGAATACTATATGATGTGTTTTATCTGCTTTATCAGCTACAAATGAGTTTACACGAATGTCTTTAAAGTGATGCTCCCATGCAGCTGCTTTTTGCCGACTGGCTTTGCACTGTGGTCCATTTTGTGAGCATTTCTGACTTTGCTGGGTTTTGGTTGTCTTTCTACTTTAGTCAGTTTAGGGATTTGTGATGCGAGTTCACCAACGTGCATGGAAAGCTCTCAGGTTTAACAAAATACCCGTTACAATGCAACAGGCAGCAAAACTAAATTCTTTTAAAGTTGCCTCAAGTGCTGGGCCAGCTGAGGATGTGGTTTATGTTGCAGTTGAATTGTAACACCAATGTAGAGGATATGCTGGTCTCTGTCCTTTTATATAACAAATGTTTTCAATCCCTTGCACCAACCTCCATATGGGAACAGAGCCTTCAGTATGCTTTGCAGCACCTCATCACTTCACCAAAGCCTTTAATTTCTAGCCTTTCTGTTAATTTATATACTTTTGTTTATTTGGACTCTTTTTTTAAAGCTATAAAGAGTTATTATTATTAAACTTTATTGTTAAAGTCAAAGCTGGTGGCAAAGTCAAAGTCATTATTATTATAGTCATTGTTGTGAACAAAGGTAGACTATACAGCAGCCTGACGAAAAGAAATTAGCTTTTACCTCACCTGTACTTAATAAACTGTCATTTGAGTGGTCACCCGGCAAATTTAAATATTTGTCCACTCAGCTTCAAAGCTCGCCACTCTCACAGCACAGATAACTGCCCGCTCAGTGAAATCCATAAATTGCAGGCTATGTAAACTGAGATTTGCGTAATTACAGCTAAAAGGTCACGTGGACTAAAACACGTCTAACTGTAGTGGGTGTTTAATATGTTTGAATGGAGCTTTAAGAGCAGATTCATATTTATTCTGCGTCTTTATTAACCTTTTGCCATGCACCCGTTTGGCTCTATCTCTTTAAGAGCGGCTAGCCCACCTGGGAGGGGAGGGGAGGGGAGAGGAGAGGAGAGGAGAGGAGGGGGGGACAGGTGTGATGTGTTGTAACCGTTACCGTGCACGGTTAACGGTGCTGTGACCCTTTCAAAACCTCAAACACGGACCCCCCACCTGTGTAGATAGGATGGGATGGGGTGGGGTGGGGTGATGGTGTTGCTGGGTGAGGAAGGGGGCGTAGGGGGTCAAAGTCAGTACGGGATACGTGAGTCACTTCATACTCTGTGCTCGGCGGAGCTCGAGCTCTCACGCCAATTCCACCGTCAGTGACGTCGGCGTCACGTGTCTGCCTCTTCCCTCGGTACGTCCGTCGTATTTTCCTCCCCTTTCACTGCCTGCTGTAACACAGAGCCACTCGAAATAAACAAGCGCAAAAAAATAAGAGAGGGGCCGTTGTTGTTGTGAGAGGGAGGGGGGGACCGGTCCGGCTCCAGTCACGTTTATTATCAGCGGCCGATTGTCAGAGGGGTCCTTACACCTATAAGTTACCATCAGAGAAGCCCAAAGCCGACCCCGTCCGTGTCTGGCTCCACTGAACCCGCACCAGTGTAAACTTTTTAATACCTGCGATGCATACGCTGAGCTCCGACAAAGCGAGGTGAGTGTGCTTCACTGATACGCATTTACTTAAGTGTTCACCTTTCCTAAACTTGTGCGCGAGCTGTCTTACCTTTACGGGCTTGTGGCTCAGCGGCGCTGGCCAGCTGCATGTCGCCTGCTTAAAATGGCGACAGCCAACCTGGGGGGGTGGTAGAGAGAGTAGTTTTTTTAAAAGCTTGGAGGGGGGCACGGCTTACCTTTTTTCCTCTCTCTCCGGTATGAATTGGTCGTAGTGTTCAAAGCTATAATGCAGACAAGCCCTTTAAGTTGGGGCTCACTCCGCCTAACTTGAGCGGAAGATGAACACGCATCATTTTTCGGAAATATCTGACGCTGCTGCGCTCAGGGACCGAAACATTGCAGCGCAGACTCTTATTGTACCTCCTATTTTCGCGGAATATCGCCGATTAACCACGAAATTAGCGCCAATTAGATGTTGTCAGGGTGCACTGTAGCCCCCAATCCTGTAATATGTCCTGTAAACAATGCGCTGAATTTCCAAAATTTCTTCCAATCCGTCAATCCGTGCTATGAATGAAGTTTGGGAGTCATTTTTAAAAGTCCCAGTCACTTCCATCATATCTACCATCTATTTAATTTTTTTTTAATTTAGCTTGAAAAATCTATGTGTGTGGACCTTGGTTTTAAATGAAAATCACACCTTTTTCTTTTCTTCCACCAGCTGAGTTTGTTGTTGTTGTTGTTCTCTAGCAGCCACTTGTCTTATTTGTTATTTCACTGTTGTCATGAGTGAGTTTGACTGCAGGGATTAGAGCAAAGATTTCCCACACCGCTAATTTGTGTCTGATGTCCACGTGAGTCCCAGGCACGGACACTTAGCTTAATCCAGCTCACCTTTTTACACTTTTAGAAACGGGCCAGGTTTTCCACACTGCTGCTCAGATCACACGTGGATCAGCTGTGAGGGGAGCTGTAGGTGATGATTAGTATTGTTATTGTTGTTACTATCTTGCTGTATTTCTTTGTGCTGGTGTGCTGATGGCTGTAGATTTCAGTCAATAGTACACTCTACCCCCCTCCTCTTCTGCCATCATCATCACTACCACCTCCACCTCCTGGGCCCTGTTTCCCTCCCTCCTTTCTCCTCCCTTTCTCTTCCTCAGATTTAGGTTAGTAGCTGACACAGGTTGAGTGGCTTTGTGTGGAAGGATTAATCAGTACGTCGCTTATTTAAAATCCTTGGTGCCTTTGCATATTTTAGACAACTTTTTAAATGCTTTACTGGCAACCCTTGTTAAGTATTAAATGTTGTGCTGATGATTTAATAAAGCTGAACAATTCTTGGAGGGTGTCAGTCTGTAGGTAATGACTTTCCATCACATCTGTGCCTGCAGACCCATGTAAGACAGTTTATTTACAGATCTCTACCAAGTATGGCCACACAAAAAAAATCAAAAACAGGAGTCATCTGCTACTGAAGAGCCTTTTCACGTTGTTGGGGAAGAGCAGAGTAAGCCACTCGCACAGCCACAGCGTTCAGGTCTGGGTCAGCAGCGGCAGCAGCCTCTTGGCTCTGCTTGGCTGGTTAACAGCTTGTGATGTCAGCCATTTTAGGTTGGACAGCACAGAGGCATGGTGCTCCGCCATTTTTCTCTCCCTCCCCTCTCAGCAACCCAATTTTAACGCATGCACCGGCAGCGGCCACAGCAATGCGGCCGTGCACAACCCACATAGCCACACGCTCCCTTGACCTGAGACTCAGGATCACATGAAAATGACACTGCGCTGTCACTGAGGCTCAGAGGCGCTCTGATTGTTGCCTGCATTGTGTGCGAGCCGAAGAGGGAGTGGAAAGAAGTTGGGCTGCAGAGAACCTGTGAGCATTTCTAGTGGTGGGTTGTTCGAGAGCAGGGGTGTATGAGCGAACAAGACCCTGAAAATGATTGATGAGAGAAGGTTAGCAGCTTAAGTCGTTTTTTGTTTGTTTGTTTTGAGGCAGAACAAAACACAGCGTAGGATTTTTATTTTTATTTTTTTTGAGGGTGGGCTTGGGGAAAACGCACAGGGGCGAGAGGTTGTCATCTCCTGAAAGGATAGCATCTGGCAGATAGGCCAGGCCTGTTTATGCGCTCATGGCTGCATTGCCTACAGTGACTACAGGAGCCCTGCGTGACTTTAGGGCCCTGTAGGCCGAAACACAGGAGCCCCAGAGCAGTAGCCCGGGCAGATGCCTGAACCAAGACTCACAGACACTGAGTTAACAGGAAGAGACGCCATCAGCTTTGGAGAGTAGTGTGCCTTGGCGACGGCGACCACACCTAGCAGGGAGACATGAACACTGCGTGAGGGAGGCACTGAAATAGGAGCAGGGCAGGGACTCTCCAAATACCACTGACAGGGGCGTGTGGAACAAACAAGCCCCGCTAGAGCCAGAGACTGGATGGCATAGGAGACGTGTGCGTGTTTACCCACATGCGTGTACTTCAGAGAAATGAGCTGGTAGGAGAGAGAAAGAGGGGGTAGGAGGTGGTTGCCATGGGGACAGTAACACACCAGTGGCGCTGCCGACCTGTCTCCCTGGGCCAAACTTGCTCTGAGAGGAGGAAGCGGAGGGAGGGGAAGCAGAGGCTGTTGGAGAAAGGGAGGGGGAGTGAGGGTGAAGAAGACGAGGAAGAGCGAGGAAACTAGGAGAAAGCTGCCTGTGCTGTACACCTTTTCGTCATCCTACTGGGAGAACATTTGTTACACGCACACATCAGTGTTACACCTGCATTCTCAGCGAGGTGACGAGATGACTAGTTTAGTTTGTGTGAAGCTATACAAAGGTGTGCGTGCGAGAGAGCTATTATTGGTCTGTGCTCAGAGGATCCATCCCCAGCCTAGAGGAGAGTCAGGCCACCGGATGAAAGGAGGTCACGCCTTGCTGAGCCAATGATGACATTAAGAATAATACAGGTTATGAACCGTGAGGTCAAAAATAATGTCTTTGTGTGTCACTGGGAGAGCTCTCTGACTCTCACACACAGGAAAAATTGCAGCCTGACTACCTCGATAAACAAGCCTCACACAGAGGCATTTAGCCAGCCTCCCCCACAAGCCACACACACACTCACCAAGAGCTCACACGCACCCCACTCCTACCCCCCACCCCCTCTACTCTCAATCTCACAGGAAACCAACACATGCAAATGCTGACACACACATATAACAGACACGAACCCACGGTCCCCTGCATGGTCAGTCAATGCATGTGCGGCATTCAAATGAAAAGTTTTCAGCTGATGCGCTCACACCCATGAGTCAACAGAGAGCTCATCTGATCCTGGCATGAGCTGCCCATTTCGACTCGCCAATTATAGCTCGGGCTTGTGCTGTTTTGATGCTCACCTGTGTGCGGCTGTATGTGTGTGTGTGAAAGAGAGTGAGAGAGGCCTCTGCGTCTCTGCTGGTTGCTTTCGCATTCGCTGAGGCCCAGGGCTTATCTGGAGTTGTGTTCGCACAGATGTGGTTTTTGATTTTTCACAGGCCCATCACAGTGTGATGTGTAAAGTTGGTAGTTGCTGTCTGTCAGTCAGTGTTTGCAGCTTTTGATCAGTCGTGGAAATAGGATTACATACTTAGCAGCTCTGACATTGTGTTTTGCTGGGTGTCTTAGTGTTAGTGATTATTTTGCACATGCCTGCTGACTGCCCGGGTGTGCACGCCACATGCAGGCGCTGAAGCAGGACTCCAGGTTATGTCCGCTGGCTGAATGTTCTGGGCTTTTGCGGTGCAGCAGGGAGGGAGGAGAGGGAAGGACTGTGATTGTAGTTTGGAGCTAGAAGGGGCTTTGAAGCGCGGGGGAAGGCAGGGTTGGGCAGGCTAGTTGGAGGGGGGTATCGGGTAGGAAAATTCCTCACTGAAACACCTCAGTGCTTCCTCAACGATAGTTAACAACTCTCCTCACCCCATACCGACTCGCCCATCCCCCACCGTCCTTTCCCATTCGCTGTCCCTCTCCTCTCGCCTGCCATCCGCACCCAGCAGAACCACGTGATTGATGGTTGAGACTGCCCACCCATAAGCCTTTGTGTCGGTCATGTGACCAGCCAGCCTTGGCAGAGTGGTGCCCCCTGATGCAGAACCCAATGGCAGGGGGAGTCGAAGGGGTGCACAACAGCCCAAGTTGGTGCACGCGGGGTGGGGGACAAGGGGCATCACGTTCCTTCCACAGTAGCAAACTTAATTTGCCTGTTAACCCCTCACATTCAGATCCAAAGAGAGGGGAGCAGTCTTACTGTTCAAAAAAATAAAATACAATAAACAAAGAAGATACTATTTGTTTTGAGTCCAGCAATGTTTTCAGAGACTGCTCAGAAAACATTTTACTATTAGCAGTACTAAGGCAGACAGCAGATGATGGGAACTTTAACTTGCTTTTGCCGCCTCTGTCTGGGTTGTCGTAGGCTTCTGAGTGCAGGAGAGTCAACTCTGCATACCTGTGCTCGGTCACAGTTGGAGCCCTCGTCCTGCAATAGTTAACTGGGTTTTGAATTAGTGTACTGTGATCTTTTCTATGGCAAATCGAAGATCTGCTAATGTGTCTGTGGGCACTTTAGAAAGAGGACATTCATCATTAGCGGATTTGTCGAATGGAGACATCGAGCTTGCTGCTCACCTTGTCATAAGTGAACAGCCTCGTGCACGATGAGGCTAAGCATCTGAAGGTATACCACCCCCTCACCCCCCAGCCAAGTTTAATATGAGCATGGAGTTGTTCTGCTTGCATGCACGAAAGGGTTTAAGCTTTTGAGCGCTGAAATGTGAAAACTGGATGTGTTTGTGAAGTATCTGGACTGGGTGAGATTTTAAGCATTTTCCTGTTGTGTTTCTCTAAGCCGCTGAACTTTGTTGAGCTTTTGCTGCTCTGCGCATGAGGTGTCATGTCAGGGCAGAGTGACTGGGAGAGTAATTGCCCTAGAGCTGTCCTCTAGTACTGCATCACTACCTCTCTGTGCAAAGGAAGGAAGGAGAGGGAAAAGACGAAGCTTTTTTTTTCTTAATGGAGACAAAGAATCTAAGAGGTGTTGTGAAGGTTTTAAGATTTGAATTCTTATATAGGTGTGATTCCTGTCTGTACAGTGTGTACCATTGTTAGGATGGAGCCATTTTTCCGCAGAACATCTGTTCATCTGAACTGCTCAACTGCCCAGATGTTACGTGCACTATATTGCTGTAGGAATTTAAATAAAGATATTCAGTTAAACTACAGAGGCCCTGGATTTAAAAAAAAGAAATACAGAATGTGCCCTCTCTGTTGGGGGTGTGTCTGAAAGGGGAAGTGAGACCGAGTTGTGTGGGGGGAGGGGAAAGAAGGGGGTAGGACAGGAGCTCTCTCTACAAGCCATCAGTGAAGATGCAGAGTGAGCTTGTGTGTAGGCCTTCATAAGAGAGACAGCCCTGGGTTTCTCTGATCAGAGGTTTTGAGCAGCAAGATCTGTGGATTTTAAAGCGCTCGAGCTCAATCTTTCCACGAGGTGTCCTTTATTACCTGTGCTGTTGACATTTTACCTGGAAACGGCGTCAGCAATGATGTGTTTTCCTCTGCTGAGATGGACCTGGGTTTTGCTGCGCTGAGTAAGATATTTCATTTGCTCTCAGTCGCCCAACTCATTTGCACTTAAAATGTAAATTTTCTCTCTTTTGTGTGTTTGTAACTCACCAAACCACTTGACTAAACTGTTGGCTGGTGATTGACAAACTAATCAGTGTTTCATTCTCTTTTTGCAGGATTTCCCGAAAAACTCAAGTGATAACCACAAGTGGACCCACGGACAAGACCCGCCACCCCCCTTCCCCCATGCCTGGTCTATAGTCAACGAGAAACCCATATTCTTTTTCACACCTCACTCTCAGCCATTTGACCACTCCTCCCACCCCCAGCCCCTTTTTTTTTTCACACCATGGCCAGCAAAAGGAAGTCGTCCACTCCCTGTATGATACCTAGCAAGATTATTCGCCCGTTAGAGGAGGTTGAGCAGGACTCTCCTGCTCTCCGTCAGCCAAGGGTTTCTGGCAGTGACACACAGAGCCCCTTAGACCCTGGAGAGTCTTCCAAACCAGAGGCGGGGGATGCAGTCAAAGATGGTGCAGGCAGTTACACATGTAAGCCTTGTAATTTCGAAACGCATGACCTTAACTTATTTTTGGATCACGTCTACTCCGGGCACCCAGACTTCCGTGCTGACCCCAGCTTCTTTTGTGTCAGCTGTGGGGTTTCAGCACCCAAGTTTGAGGGCCTAGCATTGCACAACGCCAGGGTTCACCCCAGCACATTGAACACCACTCTGCGGCTGAGAAAGAGAGACAGGAGGCTGGTGGTGGAGCAACATCTGGTGGCTGGGCCAGAGAGCGGGAAGGACAGTGAGATTTCTATCACTAAAACCCCAATTATGCGGATGCTGAAGGGCAAATCGGAGCCTAAACGGATTGTGGTGTCTCACCCAGTCTCCGATGAGGCGTCCTCAGACCCACACACTATCTCTGCATCTAGAGAGACTGAGAGAAAAGAAACTGCCTCAGTAACAGTCGCCCATGTTCCTACGATTGTCCACAATGGAACAACTAAGGTCACACTTCCTTCAGCAATCCAGATAGTGAATGGCTCAGGAGCATTACCCATGTTAAAGACACCAATCACACAGGTAAATGTCAGTTTTTATTTCTCCTGGGGTTTTTTTTTAGATAAAACATGTTTTTAAAAAAAAAAAAAAATTTTTATTGGAGTCACTTGTTCTGATTCTTGAATGTTTTTTTTTTCCAGGTGGTTTCAGTAGTTCAAAACAGAAACCTTCATCATTCTGCGCCAGTCACCGCCTCCTCAAATATTTCCTCCAGTTCCTCAACTTCCTCCTCAGAAAATCTCCCAAAGGTAATTCTTTCTATCCAAATCTTATGAATTTTTAAATGTAAAATCAGTGGCTGATATTCAACCTTTCTCTCTCAGGTAATGATTCCTTTGAGCAGCATCCCTACCTACAGTGCCTCCATGGATTCCTCTTCCTTCCTGAAGACCTCCTTCAGCAAATTTCCGTACCCCACGAAAGCTGAGCTCTGCTACCTGACTGTGGTCACAAAGTTCCCAGAAGAGCAGATTAAGATCTGGTTCACAGCCCAGAGACTGAAGCAAGGCATCAGCTGGTCTCCTGAAGAGATAGAGGAGGCCAGGAGGAAGATGTTCAACACCATAATTCAAACGGCACCTTCCAACTCTCACAACCAGCCACAGAGTCACCACAGCCCAGCCCAGCAAACCATCACAGTCCTGCCTGCTTCGCTTGGGGCCACAGGGATCCCTCACATCCTGCAGGGGTCTCTCGTTGGCCAAGGAGGGGTAATCGTCACACAGCCGGTCATGGCAAATGGTATCCAGGTTAACAGTACTCCTGTTGCCCTAGCTGTCACACCTAAGCCCCAGGCAGCAGCGCGGCCTATGATGCAGGCCCGACCTGCAGCGGCCCTGGTGGCAGACAAAGGCGTGAGCATGGTGGTGGGGTCAGTGGGAAGCAGCAGCACAGGAACGAATATCATTAGCAGCTGTAATAGTAGTAGGAGTGGGGGAGGGGGCACTAGCAGTGCTCTTAGCAGCAGTCAAACTAGCGTGGTCAACCTCAGCTTGGGAAGCAGTAGTCATAGTAATGCTAAGGCGAGCAGTGTCAATGGTAAAGACAGCAGCGGTAATGTTGACTCCAGCGATAAGGGCAACGGTGATGCAACTGGGCATGTAAATGCCAAGAACACAGATGTCAGCAATGCCAACAACACCAGCGTGCTGCAGAGTGACAACAAAGTAACCACAGAAAGCAAAAACATCACAGACATCAAAACCGTCAATGGCAACAGTTTACCGAAGAGCAAAGATGCTAATGGGAGCAGCAGCAAAAATAGTGAGACAAGCGCAGATGACGTCGACCCCTCTGCCAGTGACTCCCCACCCATGAAGATGGAGGAGGCTTCTTCCCCTGCCTCCAAGTCTTCTTCCCCATCCCCTGCATCTGCTTCGAGCAGCACGCTGGGATCCAGGACGCCCGTCAACCCCTTCCTGGATCCCAGCTTTTACAAAGGCAAAAAGTCTCAGGAGCAGCTCAATGCCCTGAAGGACAGTTTTCAGGTGTGCCAGTTTCCCGACCAGGAGGAGGTGGACCGGCTCATTGCGTTGACGGGGCTCACAGTGCGAGAAGTTCGCAAGTGGTTTAGTGACCGGCGCTACCACTTTCGCAACCTGAAAGGTACACGTGCCGGCTCAGGACCGCAGACTAAACCCGCCACCACACCCGGAACGGGCAGCAGTCCGAGTACGCCAGGAACAAGCGCCGCTGGCAGTGCCAACCCCATCGATCTGTCAGAAAGTAGCAACAACTCTGGTGCGAAAACTCCCCAACACAGCGCTGCACCCCTGAGCCCATCTGCATCATCGCAGACACCCACCTCTCCCACCACACCTTCCCGCCGACTCCCCAGGCCACCGTCACCTGATTTCACAGCCATCCGCTACAAGGAGAGAGAACCCCACCAGGTGAGGCCTTACTACGCAAGCTTCCTGTGTAATATAAGTGTAATAAGCTTAGCAGGTGGCCAGGTTTCCTCACTGTTTTTTGTCGTGATTACTCAGTTCTGTGGATTTCCACATCAAAGTCTGTTTATAAATGCAGGGGAGGTCAGCTTTCTATTTGTAAGAGTTTACTTTTGTGGCTCCAGATGGAGCTGCACAAAATTAGATAAATAGTGTGTCTCCGGGGGTGTAGACTTCATCTACATTAGCTGCTACTACCACAACAATCTTGAATGTGCAAGTGAAATGTAAACAGTAAAGTTCAAACCTAAAAGAGGATACGTTTTATTTTCTTTCCATGCACAGCTTATAAGATGAATAAGTGAATTAGTTTTTGGTCTTGGAAGGCTTGAAAAATTGTAAAATGAGGTATTCAGAGTTTTGTTTTGTTTTTTAAACTACAAAGATGATGTCTTTAAATATCTCACTCTGTCTGAACTGTTACAGATGCTAGTTTTATTTTTAACTTGAATAACAAAATCATTAATCAGATATCTCACACATGCCAGTTCTTTGTCTTCATTGAAAAAAAGACGATACTAATAATTAACTTGCGTTTATTATGTTAGGTTAAAGCCCTAGAGGGCAGCTTTTCCCAGAACTCAGACCCATCAGGCGAGGAAGTGGATAGACTGCGGTCTGAGACCAAGATGACCAGAAGAGAAATCCACGGCTGGTTTGCTGAGAGGAGGAAGAGAGTGGCAGCTGAGAAAAAGAAAGAGGAGGCTGAGCGGGCAATGCGAGAGGAGGAGGAGGGTGAGGATATCGGGGTTGATGGAGAAGAGAGGCAGAGAGATGAAAGTTCAGGGGAACCAAAAGTCAACCCTATTAAAATAAATCTGAAGATGCTGAAGGTGACAGAGGCCAATGGGAAAACTGAGAGCGAAGGGCTGGATAGTACGGCCGCATCCTCCCTGGGTCCTGCCTCATCTGCCACCCCCAAAACATCGCAGACCTCCACGCCAACACCCAAACCAGCTCACTCCCCCAAACCCACAGGCGTCCGAGGTAAGAAGACAGCGGACCAGCTGCATCTGCTGAAACAAGTTTACGCTCGGACCCAGTGGCCCAGCGCCACTCAGTACGATGAACTCATCTCAAGCACTGGGCTGCCCAGGCCTGAAGTGGTGCGCTGGTTCGGAGATTGCCGTTATGTGCAGAAGAATGGGCAGCTGAAGTGGCTGGAGTCGTACCAGAACATGGCTCTGGAGGAAGACCTACAGAAGGGGAACGTGCACGTCCTCCAGGCTCACCTTGACGTCCACGGAAGGCTGGAAGACTCACAGGTATCAACAGCACCAAACATTTTTTTATAGCTCAGTAGCTGAGAAACACAGGAACCTGAGAATCAAACGATTTCTCTGTACTATTGCTTTTATAAAAGCTGACAGCATATCCTCTAATTATACAGGCATGTCACTCCTGAAAGTCACACTAGGCTTTTAGAGTTCCACTTTCAAAATGCTTCTGTTGCATTAGATAGATATTTTGGGGATTTTAGGTGTAAATAACTGAAACCTCATATGTGATAGAAAAACCCTGACTCACTTCCTGTTATATCAATGTTAGGGGCATTCGCTATTTTAGCAAATCATCTCCTCTGGTTGGTGTGTGTGGTTTACTCATGATTAAAGTGTTATTTTCCCATCAATTCTTTCAGTGTTGACCTGCGAAGGCAAAAGTATTGCTTTATATATTTTAATTTACATGTTTTTCTGGCAACACACTTCAAACAAAATTAACCCCACTCATTTTTCTATACACTCCTGTATATAATCCAGGAAGTGGATATGGGATTATGTGCTTGATTGGAGAGGTTGTGAGGTCATAAGGAAGGTTTTGGGTTGCAAACAGTGAAAATGTTGGATGCATTACTTTTACATGAAGTAAAATGCATTTATTCCAAACCAAGAAAAGGAAATGCAGGATACAACGGTATCATGTGATGTAATTCTGGATACAGTTCACCAACAAAGCAGTGTGTGGATTATATCTTATTTTATAAGTAAATATATGTAAATGTCTCTGAAGCCACTCTGACACATGCATTCCTTTCTATTAATCTGTCAGTGTGTCACCTAGTAGCATTTGCAAATCGATTTCAATCCACGTACGTTTTAGTGAACAACTAATCCAGCCTGTTTCTAAATTGCAATAAAAATTTATTTATTCATTCTTTTTTTTTTAATTCATTCTTCATGTCCTGTCTGGACAGGAGTGAGACCTCTCGATCTCTCTCAGAACTCGTTCTTGGTGTCAGGAGGAACTAAAACAAAGTCATAGCTACAAGTGCACCTATTTTTTTCTTTTTGCACATGTGGCTAAAATTTGATCGTGTTGCTCTCTCCATCTCTGTAAGTAGCTTTAAAGAGCTTTGACAAAAAAGTGAAAGAGATGAAAAAAATGGCATTGTGTGAACAGAAGCAAGCAGTGCTACTTGAAGAGTTTCATTATTACAACATAACATTTTTTTGTTCAAATTTACACTTGTGTTCACGAGTCGCGTAAACTGAGCTGCAGGCTCCTGTGAACATCAGGATCTTTGATGAACATTTTCAAATTGCAAAAAATCTTCAAATTTGATCCTTTTTTTTTTTTTTGGCCTTAATATAATTGTTGCCATTTAGCATCAGCATCTGTCTTCAGATTTTCATTGATTCCTAAATAAATATGAACTAAATATGTACTAAACATGTCATTAAAGGAAAACTGTCTAAATTCTAAAAGAACTGGGTTGCAAACAGGTATGAGTATGAAAAGGTGAAATGTGTCATCTACGTGTCCACTTTGCACCTCAAATAACCGTGAACCTTCCTCTTGATTCCCCTTCTGTATGCACAGTTGCAGGAACTTGCTCAGAGTAGCAGTTTGACAACAGACTTGGTGCGACACTGGTTTACCACTAAGGCGTCTTTGCAACAAACTGCCGCCGCCAGTGCCGCTGCTCATACAACAGGAACGCGACCGGTTGCACCGGGTGTGGCTGCAGAGCCACCTACAACAGGATCCTCCCCTCCGGAGTCGCAGGCAGGAGGTGGGATGGAGGAGAAAACGGAGGCATCGGTGTGCAGTGTCGCAACAGAAGCAGAGGACGCAAACGCTGACGAGACTGTGAATGCTACTAAAGGTAATCTTCATCAGCGAGAGCGTAAGCTCTCCCTGCAGGGTCTGACCAAATATCCTGATTTGAGCAATTAAACACCTAAAGAAAAGCTGCAGAACTTCTAAAAGCAGAAGCAGAAGGTGTTTCATTATGAAAATATTATTTGCGCCTCCGTAACAATTAATTTTATTCGTGGCAGGGTTTAGGTGTTAAAAGGTGATAATTAAACACACCTAAATGTTTATGATCGTCACTCAGGTGATACAGAAGCGCTAAGATAGAATATACAAACACACACATTCATCATAATTATGAGTAATGAGGCATGCTGTGGCAGGTTTGTGTTTCAAACCAGTGCGTGTGTAACTCCAGCACACTGTGTGTAGCAATGAAGGAAATTCAGACGTGTTTTCTGGAGCGTGTTGTCAGGGTGACAGATTTTTAATTTCTTTTTCCGCTTTTTTTAAAATTCTTTCTTCTTCTTTTTTTAATTGCAACAGGAACTGATTGAAGAGGCCTTTTTGTGCGAGGATGGAGTTGACATCGCAGGTGGTCTTTGTTCCGGGAGCCTGACTAAAAGACGGCAGATGCGTTTGTAACAAGATCACTGGAAGGAAATGGATCTTGGAGCCACC